GTGTGTGTGTGTGTGTGTGTGTGTGTGTGTGTGAGAGAGAGAGAGAGAGAGAGAGAGAGAGAGAGAGAGAGAGAGAGAGAGAGAGAGAGAGAGAGTTCACATCGGTCGTTTGCTTCCACCCTTAGTGTTTTTGCGAGCGAAGCTGCAAAAGGTCATCGAGTGTATTTATTATTTTCCTTCTTCGGAAGAAACTTTAGCTAGGCCGGTTCCTTATTTATGTTATCATCGACGTAGTCACCATAGAGGGATGTTCTGTTATTACTAAATTAAGAATACTTGGAGTATGTGAAGAATCCTCAAAGTGCATGAAGAAGAAGCTTCAATGAACTGCCATTTTACAGTTACCAGGTTGCTACCAATGCAGCGTTGAAACACTCCACAAATGTCCGTGTCCTCTTGAAGATGAAATGAAGCAAGAACGCAGATGCACGAGATAATACTTCACAGATGAGGCAGCAAAGGAAATGAAGCAAGAGTGACGACGCAAGAGATCATACTCCACAAATGAGGAAAGAGCTACTTAATACCAACTATACAGATGTAGAAAACATAAGAGAAAAAGATGTCGAGCAAGAGATGAGACAAAACACCGGTCAACACATCATATTCCCCCACGAAGGGCAAGCACCAGGTGAAGAACCGATCCTCCCTCAATGTTGTAGTCTCGTGCGGTCTTGTCATCATTCATCTGTTTCCCTGCAAAGATGAGCCTGGCCGGAAACAAACAGAAAAAGAGGCAAAACCATTACTCGTGTTAGGATAACAAGTTCACCTTTTCCTTTTTTTCCTTTTTAAATAAAAACAAGTTCTCCTTTATCCTCTTCTCCTTTGCCTTTCTAGGAGCAGTGTCTCTGCTTGTCTCTCTCCTTTTTCTTTTCTCCTAGTTATCACCTCTACAACTGAGGGCATGCGGAGCAATGCGACAGTGTGCACGCTAGCTATTGGAAGGTCAGTCGTGGCAAGGCCCGGTGGCAATGCACAGAGTTTCGAGCTTATCGGCTTTGATAATTTGTCAAACTAATCAAAAAATAAAAACATAGAGGAACGGCTGATCAGCTCCTGGGTCAGGAAAACTTTTCAGTTCGTTAAGGCCAGGCAGGATTTGAACTGGGTATCTGGCCCACAAGTTTATTGCAGGCCAAATTCAGACCTGGGTCTCTAAGCCGAGGTGTTGTTAGCCTCCCCTGGACATAGGACTGAGAATTCTCTACTTACAATTCTCTGCTTTCCAACATCTGAAGGAAACAGTCTTGGACTCTCGGTGCAGCCATAGCCAATGTGATCTGGCTCTGTACTGTGCTGCTTTTGGTGTCATTTGTTGCACTCTGTGCAATGCAGTCAGACACCGAAGTGTGATACTCCAATGCAAGTTTGGTGTAAAGCTTTCTAGCAATTCAGATTCACATTATTCGAGCTGACATGAGTGACGGATTTTGAAATTGCTTGACGTCTGGCAAATCTCAACAGTCTGGGAGCAGCGGTGACTCGCAATTATTGAAGTATTCTGCTACGGGAAGATCATTCACACAGCACTACATCATAGTCTGATCTGAGAACTAATTGTTCATAGCCATCTTCTTCTTCTTCTTTCCCGCTCTCCTCTCAAGTTCGCTCATTTCGTTTTGCAATTGGACGGCATTGAACTTCCTCATGAATGCGTACTTCGAAATTGGCCAGGATCATAAAATTGGTATCAAATCGGATTCTACTTGCTGGCGAGAGTTGACTTAGCCGCCATAACCCTAACCTGAGTGGTTAGGGCTGACCAGTCAGAGTTAAGGTTGGTGCGAAGTGGGAAGTGGTGCAGCATGGATTAAGGAAGCTGCCNGCCATAACCCTAACCTGAGTGGTTAGGGCTGACCAGTCAGAGTTAAGGTTGGTGCGAAGTGGGAAGTGGTGCAGCATGGATTAAGGAAGCTGCCCCCACCTGGTTAGGTCGTGTTGGGTCGACACTAGACCTGACCAGGTTGATTGAGAGTGAACTTGTGGTGGCGAGACACATCAAGAGGGCTTCGTGCGACAATTTATGAGATGCAACAGTGAGAGGCACTCGCACCCGGAATCTAACCTAAGGGAGACACTTGGCAACTTAAGGGCCTCCCACAAATAGGCGAGCTTGAGGGAGGTAGCCATTCTGCATCTACGGACTGCAAGTTGCTACCTTGTTCTTCAGCATCAGCGGGGGATCCGACGTTGCACTTTGGTGTTGGAGTCAAACCCTCCTACATGATAGGACACTAGTGTAGAGGTAGCGATTAGGGTTAGGAGGACCATATGAGGGAGGGGGCTGAGTTATACTTCATCTCAAAGTTTGGGCCACTCAGGTAAGTGTTGCGCACCTAAGGGTTGCCCATGTGTGCGTGCATGGTATTGTTTGTCCTGTTGGGGTACTGGATCTCGTCTTTGCTCCTCTGAAGTCTTGGTTGTGGGTATTTGTGTGCGAACTTCTTGCTGACCTCATGTATGGAGAGATGAAGTATCTCACATTCGATAAGGCTCACAGTGACTGCAACGGGAAAGGGGCGCTGCGTTACGGGCCGCTTGCACCTTGGTCCCCCGTCGGGGACAGGCCGGCACAGCCCGGCCTGCTCCTCATGCGACACGTCAGGGTGGCTCTCCCGTCATCTGACGCGGCCTCTGAGCTGATCGGATGCGTGCCACGTGGCGCGTTATCTGTGGACCTCTTGGGAGGCTGAGGTCAGTAAGGAGGGGTGTTGCTAGGTGTGTGTAGCAGTGTGTGACGTGCGGTGTAACACACGAGGAGGTGAGAATTGAGTGGTGCTTGGCGATGGCGTGTTCAGGTGAATTGGGGGCTGATGCGTGGCTCACTACCGTCCAAGTGAGCAGTGCGCGTGTAAGCCAGGTGGTGGAGGGGCCACCCCCCCATCTGTGTGCGTTTATAGACTGGCCACGATTGGACGACTTGATGCGGCGGTACTACGAGGAGCTTGAGGAGGGGCAAGATCTTTGTGCTACGCTGGAGGACCGCTGCTATGATGATGACGACAACATCATGGGAGACGCTAACAACATCAACCTCATCGCCGAAGATGCTATCAACATTGACTGTAAAAACAACGACAATCTCACCGCGGTCGCTCTCATCGCCGCCATCAGTAACAACGACAACAACAACAACAACAACAATAACAACAACAACAGCAACAATAACAACAATAATAATAACGGCGAAGACGGTGATCTTCGTGAAGATGACTGTGACGTTCGCATCCAAGTCATCCAGGTCGTCAACAACGACGACAATATTGCTGACAACAATTCCAACATCGAATCGGGCGGGGGCAATCGCAGGGTGCGGCAGGCTTCTCCCATGATTCTTGCCATGTTCGAAGGAGGTAGGCCTCTTGGGGAGGGGATGGTTTTGCGCATATTCATGTGTATGCTCGTGCGGGCGAAATAGCATTGCGGTGCATCCGTGGGATCTGGGTGGGAGGGAAGCAGGGTGGGGTAGAGGCCTGGATCTTCGTCTTTTCAATGTTTACAACAACAACAATAACATCAACGATAACAAAAACGACACCGCTCACCCCTCCTCTTGGATTTCTTCTGGTGCTCTTCAGCTGTAGTTTGGGGGGATGGGCTAGTGGCGAGGACGCTTGGATTGATCTGCAAACGGGATGGCTGGGTGTGGGGGCGAGGAGTGGGGTGGTGGCGTGAGGGGGTGGGATAGTGAAAGCTGGATAGCTGGATCACCGCATCCTCTTTTGGCCACGTGGCAACAAGACAACTGTGGTTCGCTCAGATCTTGCTCATTGGCTCGCCAAGCAGAATTGGCGATTTTCATTTCTTGCGGTTTTTTACAACTTAGGATTAGGCCACGTGTCAGAGCAGGCAGTGCACTGAGGGTTGGCATCGGGGTCGCTTGTGTGATTGATTGGCGGCGCAGGCGGAGAAGCGACGATTGGCACCAGGGCCGCCTATGTGATTGATTGTTGCCCTGCCACGTTTTTGACTGATTAACTAGGTTAGCACGTGGCTATAAATCCGGGTAATCTGTGTAAACTGTGCCCCCCCACTTGAGAGGATTCGTGGATTATGAGGACCGTGGGGGGGATGCAGTGCAACTAACCTTACATAATAGAGTGCAATGGTGGAACCGGGCTCCTGTGCAAGGTTTTGCTATAATTGATTTTCTAAAGCCCCCTATTCTGAATGCCCCTACTCCCCGGGTGCTGCAAGAGCGATTCTGTAGGTGATGACGGATTTAGACTAGGGATAAGATGTTAGACTGCGATGGCCAGTTAATCCCCTCGGTTGAGGGCGATCAATGCTGCTCATCGAATTAATGATGTGTGCCCGTGTGTCGATTCAGGTGATCACTCCGGTTTATAGTAGGATGGACACGTGGCACGGTTACATAACCCTTGTTTACAAACTGCCCCTTCCAGAAATGTTGAGGGACGCTGGACCCGCTTTCCAGCAGGTGCTGCTCCCCACCAATAGATGGAGCCTCCCCGGGAATGCTAGTGGTGTCTGCTCTTATCAGCACCCCTAGCACTCACTCGGGTTGTTTCTTGTAAAAAAAAAAAACAAAAAAAACAGAGATGAAGTATTTTGCTTTGAATGCCATATCTTTCTACAATGCTTTGTCTTTTCATTCTGAGCGGATGTGGTCTGTAGGTTCTCTTTGAAAGTTGAATTTCGTTTTTGAGTAGGGTAGAGACAGAAAGTAGGTCTGTGCGGTACCCTTCTTGGTGAGGACTTGGTTGCGGCCTACGTGGGACCGACTGGGACTCAGTGAGACCAGGCCCAAACAAGAAGGCCCCTTGGACCCAAATCTTTTTTTTTTTTTTTTTTTTTAGCTATTGAATTTCCTGTGTTGTCTGTGTAATACGTTTTTCGAAGAGCCTCCGAGGAAGTGCCGATAGCCCCAAAAGAAATCCGGAAATCCCAAAATCCGTTCTGGGATATACCTTTGGAAGTCTGGATGTATTGGTAGGGTCATTTTTTGTAAAAATCTGCGGTCAACGTACCGTCCTCACCCGAAGTATCACCGCATCTGGACCGAAAGTTGTGCCAAATACAGGCTATAATGACCGGGCGTTCTATTCGGGTTAAGACGGTAGGAGTCCCCTCTCACGGTCCAGTTATCTCCTTTTTCTAAGTTGTTTATTTTATCTTAGATCTGTCCCCTGTTCTAATCTCCACCGTAAATCTAAAAACAGCAGACATAGGGAGATCTCAGATCGCGTTTTTCTTTATTCTATTTATCAAAACATTTTCTCTCCGTTCTCCCCATTTCTGAGAGAGAAATACATCTCTCTCACTCAGTTTTCCCTCAATGTCCTTTTTTTGCTCAGTTGCCTCCGTACTACCATCCACAGTATTTTCGTCCCCACTCATTCCATGAGGGAGCCCACCCACCTCCTTTCTTTTTTTTCTTTTCTTTTTTTTTTTTTTTTGAGATACCGGGGCCGTTACCCGGCTTCGGCTGAAAACAGTCTGTGAACACGATTTGATTCAGAAAGCATGGGGAGGATCATGCATATCTAATGACCTATTAATGAACTACTCATGCAATACGCTACCACAGAAATCCTACGCATGCTCACAACCCTCAGGATCCCTAACAAACCCTTCTAAGACTTTCCAACACAGGTCCTACCGGACCCGACTTAGGGCCGGAGGGACACACCAGGGCCTAAAGGCCCGACCTTTGGGGTTTACAGGCCCTAAAGGCCTGAGTTTGGACTATCACCCATCGGGTAGGCCCAAACGACACTTCGTTTGGGCCTGGCGGYGCTCTTGAAGCTGCCGCCCGCCGATTGAGGCTGWACCRTCCATCTGGACGGTTCAGGGTCTGKCCTGGCCTYGCAGCATTGAGGCCAGACCATTGCCCACCGGTATAAGTACCGGTATCCGCCTCAGTAGTGGGATCGGCCTACCGGAACTCTACCGGCACGGCATGGTCAGTSCTAGTGCACTGTTTGATGCGCTAAACTTAGCGCAGGGGCTGAAGCAGGAGCGCAGCATAGCGCAGCAGCGAGCGGAGCAGCAGCGGGCGACTGAGCTTGCACGGCGGTTATTACCGCCTGAGGTATCGGGAGCTTGGAGGGTCTCTCCTCCTCTCCCTCGCCAGTCCCCTCTCTCTCTCTCTCCTCTTCCTTCTTCTTCTTCTTCTTCTTCTTCTTCTTCAGATTGGAGACTATCCAGTTGGACAGAGATCAGAGTTGGATTTTGGTGATACGAGACAGTGGTACTTACCTGATTGGAGACTTGGAGATTGTTGAGGTTGATACTCGGCTGCATCACAGTTGGACACCGGTTACATCTGGACTCTGTTATCTTCGACATTGGTGACCTTTGGTCCTCGACATTTTGATCTTGTTATATGACATTCTGGACTACCATTTCGGAAACCTCTCAGACTCTATCTTTGTGACCTATCGGTGTGATCTACCTCCTACCTCCTTCGTCTCTCCTCCCACCTTTCATCTGTGTATGTGTGTACGGGATCTGGGTATCGTCTATGAATGACCCAGACCCCACCATCTCATGATTGTATGTGTGTGGAGTGATGCTATGTGAGTCGGTCTATGTGAGTCAGTTCGTTTATCAGACTTCCGCTGCATACATGCTCATCCTATATTGGTTGATCTTTGGTTCTGCCCATACTCATCGAAGTATGCAACAGCAACACCCCAGCACCGGCCAGCGTCGTTCTGGCATTGAACAGCCGCAGATCACTGAGTATAACAGCATCGAAACCGCCTAAGATGGGTTGCTAAGAGTCCCTAGAGTCCTAAGACATTCATAAGAACAACCGACTTTTTTCCCACTATTCAGACTCTACCAAATCACTAGAATATGTGTGTCAAAAAGCCTCCCAACCACGAATCAGATAGGTGAAACCTATTCAATCCACCTACGACCACCACCAGCATGGCTGTTTTCAGCACGAACCGAAGCTCTTCCAGGCCTCATGCTCCCATCAGCTTAGGTTACAGAGTTGCCCCACCTTGCTCCAGCACCGGCCAGCATTGCTCCAGTTACGACCCCCGATGACCACTGAGACTGGCCCCGCAAACAGCCCCCCAAAGCCCCCTCTACCAGGCCTCATGCCCCCACTAAGCTAGGTCACAGAGTTGCGCCACCTGGCTCCGGCTCCGGCCAGCATTGCTCCAGCATCGGTCTTCGAGGGCCACCGAATTTTCGACCACCCTTCGCAGGATCACAGACGACTTGCCAGTTAGCACCTATTCCTACAACCTCCTCGAGAGGCAAACAAAATGGAAAGAAATAGTAAGCTAGATGATAGACTTCTTCGAGAGAGATCGCCCTCCCTCCCCCTACCCCTTCCCCCTCAGCCCTACACTTCCCCCGCCGAGGAGAGTCACCCACTCTCCCTCAGCCCCAATATAGGACCAACCCTCTACCCCCCTTTCCCCAGGAGCACGCAGTTCCCACCTAAAGCATGCCCCCACACCCCTTGCCCATTTCTGCCTCCGCCGGGACTGATGTTGCCCCACGCACCAGCCCCTGCCCCAGAATACGGCAACCCCCTACTCCGCCTCTACCCTTTTTGAGACATTCACACCCCACCTTGTGATGCCCCTGCAAGGTAGAGCTCCCCCCACCCCCTTCCTACCGTTCACCCCCCAAGAACGATCCGATGCAGCCGACTACAGTTATTGATGACACACAAACCCCAGCCCCCAACCCGTGCAAAAATAAATTCATTAGTGCGCCCAAAGGGGAATCGAAAATTAATAGTGGAGAAAAAAGAAAAAACAAAGAACCTAGGAAATAGGATTCCTAAAATATGAATGGAAGAATCAGAAATTTCTGAAACTTACGATGGAGAAGAGGTAGATGATATTTTTTTGATTTTGCTGATGACGATGAGCAACACCCTGAAGATGATGAAGATGAGTATGATGGTGACGACCAACTCACCTGCTGATTGAAAACAAACTGATGATGATGATGATAATGGTAATGATGAAGACAGAATGATGATGCTGATCATACTAAAGAGCAGCACCAACAGCCCCTATGATTACAAACTGATGATGATGATGATGATGATGATGATGATGATGATGATGATGATGATGATGATGATGA